TCCAGAAGATGCAGCATGCTCTTCGTGATGTACTTCGTCAGGTACATGATGAAGCAGAGAACAGTGTACGCATGGTAAATGAGGTTCAGAGCCTTATCGGTGAGCTGAATGACAGCACTCAGGATATGTCTGCTGTTACCGAGGAGATGGCGGCAGGCATGGAAGAAACCGCAGCGTCTACCGTAAATCTCCAGTCCCTCAGTGATGAAATTCGCGACATGATTCTGGCAAATGCGCAGGAAGCAAAGGACAGCGAAAGCTATACAGACGAAATTGCAGACCGTGCTAATAACATTAAGGCTACCATGGAGCAGTCCAGCAGCAATGCAAGACGTATTTATTCTGACACCAAATCCTCTGTAGAAGAAGCTATTGAGTCTGTAAAGGTTGTTGAAGAGATTACTACACTTACTCAGTCCATTACTGCTATCGCTGAGCAGACAAATCTGCTGGCACTGAATGCAGCTATCGAGGCAGCCCGTGCAGGTGAGCATGGCCGTGGCTTCGCAGTAGTAGCAGACGAGGTACGTAAGCTGGCAGAGCAGTCTCATGAAACAGCTGAGCAGATTCAGGCATTGACCCATGAGGTAACTTCCTCTGTACAGAACCTGTCTAAGGGTTCCTTCGATCTCCTGAAGTTCATGGACGAGAATGTAAACAAGGACTATGAGCGTATCAACGATATGGCAGTACAGTACCGTGATGACGCAACACATCTCCGTGACTTTGCTACTCGAAGCAATAAGTCTTCCCAGTCCCTTACCGAGTCCGTAGAGACTATGAACAACGCTATGAGTGAGATTTCCAAGGCAACCAACGAGGGAGCTATCGGTAATACCACTGTAGCTGAGAAGGTAACTGGCGTAGCACAGATGGCAAACGACATCCTTATCAAGATCAACGCATCTCAGGACGGTGCGGATAACCTGAAGGCACAGATAGCTAAGTTCAAGCTGTAAAATTTAAGAAATATCCGTATGATACAGGCACCTTGCGTAAAAGCAGGGTGTCTTTTTTGTAAGATATCCAGGCAATTAAAAAAAGTAAGATTAGCTTTTGTAATTAACAGCACTGGTTTTATTTTTATGCAATGAAATGTTAAAAATAAATTGTCTTAATATATTTGCAAAATATTAACTTATTGACAAGACTATGTAAGTATGGTAGTATTGTACTAATAGGATAGTATGTGGATAAATAAATACATGAAAAGTTTGTACAGAAACTTATTAGGTTGAAGATTATTTATTAGATTGGTAGAGATAGTTAAGAAATCTATCAGTGTGATGAGTTTTCTTTTTGTGTTTTTTTATGATAAATAAAAGAATGCAGAGTAGATACTTTGTATTATAAAAAAGTTAAATATGATATATAATAAAGAAGGGAAATATTGAGTTATGAAAAAAATAGCAGTAGCAGCTGTCGGAATTATGCTGGGCATGAGTATGGCAGCACCTCTGGCGGATATGCCACAGGCCAGTGCCAAGGAGAAGAATGTAATTCAGGTAAATGAAGATAATGATATTTTCAAGGTAGCTGAGCTTCCTGAAAACAACCTTACAGAGGCGTATCGGCTGGCGAAGTATGATGTTATAGATATACGGATTCTGGGCTTTAACACAAATCAGGAGAATACGGGATTGGAAAGTGTTACCATCGGCCCAGATGGCTGTGTACAGCTTCCTTACGCTGGTACTGTTCAGCTGGCAGGTCTGACTCTTGACCAGGCCAGAGAGGTTCTGACTAGAAAGCTGGGGACATATGTTAAAATTCCTGATTTATCTATCGGTATAAAGGAATTTTCTCCACGTAAGGTTTACGTAATGGGAAATGTTAAGGATCCAGGAGAAAAAAAGATACAGGCAGATTCTATGTTTGTGCACGTAGCAATATCTATGGCTGGCGGCATAGATAACAGAGGCCGCAGTAAGCATGTACAGGTTATACGGCCTATAAGGGACACTTTGTACTATAAGGAAGTAAACCTTGATGCGTATCTGAAAAAGCATGATATGAACCAGAACATAATACTGCAGGACGGGGACATAGTATATGTACCAGACTCTGGCAAGGTGGTATTCAGTGAGGATATCATGCCATATATCAATGTATATGCAACCTATAGGGCTTTGACTAAGAATTAAGAAGGAGAATTTTGATGGAACGAGAGGAAGACACTATAGACCTGGGCAGACTGTTCGGGATTATGCTGGATAAAAAGAAGGTAGTAGGAAGCATCGTGGGAGGATGTACAGTCCTTGCCATGGCTGTAAGCTTCATGCTGCCAAAGGAATATACATCCAATGTGCTGGTGCAGGCATCCTCTACTAAGGAGCTTAACCTGAGTGGCGGTATGGCAGCACTGGCTGCTATCACCGGTGGCGGTGGTGGTCTTGCAAACAAAGCTACTGGTTATATCGAACTGATGAAAACCCGTACTGTACTTGACCCGATTATCGAGCAGGTTTTCAGTGATATAGAAGAGGATAAAAGACCTAACGCAGAAGGCTTTGCAAAGTCAAAGCTGGACATCACTAATACCAAAGGTACAAACCTTATAAGTATAAATGCAAAAGGCCGTACTCCAGAAGAAGCACATTACATAGCTGAGAATGTTGTTTCTAACTTCCTGTCCCTGATGACAGAAACCAGTCAGGGCAGTAACTCTGAAATGATGAAGTTCCTGAATAACAGGGTAGACATAGCTAAGAAAGAAGCAGATGAAGCTGCTCAGAAGATGGAGGAATACAGCAAGGAGCATAAGGTGTATGTTCCTGATGAGCAGACAAAGGCAATGCTGGAACAGTCCGCAGCCTTTGACAAGACCATAAGTGAGCTGCAGGTACAGAGACAGGCGGCACAGGCGCAGTTTGACAGCACCAGTGCACAGGTAGGCAGTCAGAATGAGAGTGCTAAGGCCTACAGTCTGGTAGACAATGATGTAGTAGATCAGATAAGGGAAAAGATCATAGGAAAAGAAGTAGAGCTGGTACAGCTTCGTCAGAAATATCAGGAACAGCATCCAGATGTTATCCGTGCTGTAGAGGAGCTGGGTACACTGCATCAGACACTGAATCGTGAGGTAGCAGCAGTGGTAGATTCCGAGGGAGCTACGGTAAACAGCGTACAGGCTGCATTAATGGCACAGCGTTATCAGGCAGCTACCGAAGCGGCTGTAGCGGATGCCTCCGAGGCCAAGGTAAGAGCCTTGCAGGCACAGCAGGAAGCAGGCATGAAGGACCTGGCAGATAATGCCCTTGAGTATATGAAGATGGAACGCGATGCCAAGATAAAGGCCGAGGTGTACACCGCACTGGTGCAGCAGGCAGAGCAGACCAAAATCCAGCAGACCATGGAAAGCATGGACATACAGATAATTGACCCTGCAAGCATGCCTAAGGAAGACAAGCCAAGCGGACCTAAGAAGAAGCTGATTACTGCTATAGGCTTTGTGCTGGGATGTATGCTGTCATTTGGTTACAGTCTGGTAATTTATAAGAAAAATGCTTAGTAATGAAGAAAGGAGATTGAAGACATGGACAATAAACGCTACCTACGGCGTGGCATATTTGCATTCGTGGACTATATCTCCATTCTTTTAGCTGAGATTATCGCACTGCAGGTAACAAGGCTCATCGTAGACATAGATGTGAGTCATGCATTAGGCGTGTCCTATATGTATCTGTGGATTCCATGTATATTCATAGGATTCTTTGCCTGCAATGGTATATATCACATGAGGCCGATGCTTGTAACCATGCAGAAGCTGTTTAACAGTACGCTGTATGCACAGATGACAACACTGCTGTTTCTTTATATGGCACATGTGAATTACTCTAAGCATACAGATATTATGGATAACATATGCTTTCCTGTCGCATTTATCGTGACAAGCTTTATCACTGTGTATGCATTTCACGTGCTTATGGCAATGGTGCTGAAGAAGTATCATCTGCTGTATGAACCTGTTGTGTTTATCGGAGCAGGACTTACCGCAGAAAGGGCAGTACGCTTCTATGAAAATGACTGGGGCTACAGATATGAAATATTGGGCTTTGTTGATGATGCACCGATTTCAGACAGTCTGGTAAAGAAATATTCTGTGCTGGGAAAATTGGAACAGGCTAAGGAAATAGTACAAAACAGTGCTTGTAAAACTGTGATTATAACTATGCCTGGACTGGACAAAGAAAGATTGACAAAGCTTATAAGTGATATACAGCCTTACACAAGGAATATATCCTTCTGCCCTGATGTGATAGGAATGCAGATGTCAGGCGTGGAGGCAGTGCCATTCTTCAGCGAACAGATGATGATGCTGAAGCTGAGAAATAATCTGGCACGTAAGCGGAACAGAATATATAAGCGTATTTTTGATCTGGTGCTGACAATTATCGGTGGTCTGTGTATATCTCCTATTTTGCTAGTAATTGCTGTATTGGTAGCTATTGATAATAAGGGAAATGTAATATTTGCGCATAGACGAATTGGAAAAGATGGTAAGGAGTTCCCATGCTATAAATTCCAGTCTATGGTGCCAAATGCACAGGCTGTATTGGAAGAATACCTGAAAGATAATCCAGAAGCTAAAAAAGAATGGGATGAAACATTCAAACTGACAAACGACCCACGAGTTACAAAGCTGGGAGCATTTCTTAGAAAAACAAGCCTTGACGAGATGCCACAGCTGTGGAATGTAATCAAGGGGGAAATGAGCCTGGTAGGACCTAGACCAATAATAAAAAAAGAAATAGAAAAATATGGTGACAATTTCAAGGAATATGCAGCAGTAATACCGGGAATAACTGGTATGTGGCAGGTATCTGGCAGAAGCGATACCACATATCCTGATAGAGTTGCCATGGATGCATGGTATGTAAGAAACTGGTCTGTGTGGATTGATCTTATGTGCCTGATAAAGACTGTTGGCGTGGTGCTAGGGCGTAAGGGTGCATATTAAAACACCCCTCCAAATTGGAGAGGTGTCATGATGGTAAGGTTTAATTTACCGCTATATTGTCTGGTATAAGATTATCAGGGATATCTTTTGGTATTTCTAAGCCGAATTCCTTCATAAGTTGCTTTTGATAAGATTTATTGGCACTGGATAATTTTAGATCATCGTATCGATTTGCTTCAATAAGTCTAGAATTTAGCTCGTTGATGAGATCAGCCATTTGCTCACTACCGAGGTTAAAACCTTCGTTATAGTATCTTTTTGTGGCTGTTACAATAATTTTTCCACCCATGATATTGGTCACTCCTTTCTTGATATCATCATGTTTTCTAGCTATCTGATCAGCTACTCTGTTGATGAATTCTCGTAAGTCATGGTAAAGACGATCAGAGATTTGTTTATTATCCAGCATGTTGTTTAGATAATTATAGATTTTACTGAAGTCAGAAGTTATCTGTTTCATATAATCGTCATTTTTCTTTGGTTTCTTAAAACGAGATTCAAGGTTGAAAATGTAGAAGGGCAGAAGAAAAAGCAATTTTTTCTTGAAGATATCTTCTAAACTATAACGAAGCTAAGATGTTCCCTTCTTCAACAGCTTGCTGTAAGTGGGGGAAACATACTTTAACAAGCAGTGAGCATATCTCCCGCTTCGTTGAAACGTCAATAGGTAGAAAACTGTAAACAGTTTTCTTGAACAACTACGTTATAATCCTTCATCTTGATGATGTGTACTTCGTGTATTACCTGCTGGTTACCTGTGATAATTCGTATCTTCTTAGTCTTAGGGACATTATCAGAAGAACGTAGATACAGGATTCCAGAATTAGGGAAACGAACAGTCAGCATATCATCCTCGATTGTGCTGCTGTTGTTAATAGCAATCTGAGTATCATACTCATACATGCGAATTAGCATAGTCTCATCTTCTGTAGACTGGCACTCAATATGGAAACGAGTGGTGAAGTCATCATTGAAGCAGTGGTATCAACGCAGAGTACTCTTGTGGCTTTTACCGTCAGTATCACGAATAAAAAGCTCATTGTTTCCTAGATGTACCTCATCATGAGGTGAGTAGTTGTAGCCAAAAATCTCATTAAGCAGTGGTATCAACGCAGAGTACTAATCATTGAGCAAGGTTCGGAATACATCATCGTATTCTGTGTTAAATATTGGTTCTTCCATAGAATACCTCCTTTGTGTTTTATGAGAATAGTATAACATGAATAAAAAGTAATTGCAAGCAGGAATCCCGAAATCTAGGGAACGATAAGAAATAAGTTTAAATTAACTGATAAATTTGTGATGAATAAAGGTGATTTGATGAAAACTAGAGGGAATGGCTTACTAAAAAAAATAGATTATTATGTTGGTTGTCCTTTAGTTTGGTTACTAGGTATGTTCCACTTGAAGAATACTTTACCAGCATATTCAGAATCACCACGTATAGTGATAGTGAAAACAGCTGGCATAGGAGATACCATAGTATCATCACTTGTAATACAAGAAATAAAGTATAAATATCCTAAAGCACACATTACATATATTTGCTCAGCTAATGCAGGTGCAGTTAAAATATTGGATAATATTGATGAAGTAATTGTTTTTAACATGAAAAATCCAGTAAAAAGTCTAAATACTGTGAGTAAGTTGCAAAGATTTGATTTACTTATAGATTTAGCACCATGGCCTAGATTGAATGCAATCATTTCTTATTTTGCAAAAGCTAAATTTAAGGTTGGTTTTAAAAGGAAATTAATGTATCGTCATTATGTATATGATGCATATACTGAACACTCTGATGAATTACATGAAGCAGATAATTATCGTAAATTACTAGATATAACAGGTATAAAAAGTATTGGAATTTTACCTAGATTATCATATATTAAAGAAAAATTTATGTCAGAAAATATAGCGATATTTCATATGTTTCCTGCTGGATCTAGTACACAACAGCGTATGTGGCCAATGGAAAAATGGGTTGAGTTAGCAAAGCAAGTGTATGACGAATATGGTTTAAAGGTATGTTTAACTGGTGGTAAAGAAGACATAGAAGTTGCTGAAGATGTTGTAAATAAAGTTCGTGCCTTAAATGTAAATATAATTTCAATGGCTGGAAAATGTTCTTTGAATGAAACTAAGGAATTATTAAGCAGATCTAAATTACTTGTTTCTGTTAATACTGGAGTTATGCATATGGGGGCGGCAGTTAATATCCCATTAGTGGCACTTCATGGTGCAACCAGTGAACTTAGATGGGGACCGGTTGATGATAATTCTGTAGTGATAAAAAGTGGTGAAGCATGCCAGCCGTGTATAAGTTTAGGTTTTGAAACAGAATGTGATAACCCTGTATGTATGGAAAATATAACTGTAGATATGGTCATGAATGGGGTAAGAAAAGTATTAGAAAGGTAATAACAAAGTGATAGATAAGAAGAAAATAATCAATTATTTAAAAAATGATATACAGAATGCACATGTGTTAGTAGTTGGTGATGTAATGCTTGACCAATATTTTTATGGAAGTGTATCAAGAATTTCACCAGAAGCACCAGTACCAATAAATAGAATTGAACGTCAGGTAGATACTTTGGGTGGTGCTGCAAATGTTGCGCATAATCTTGCTAAGCTCGGATGCAAAACATACCTTGCAGGTGTGGTAGGAAATGATTACCATTGTGTAATATTCAAAGAGTTATTAAAAAATATAGGTATATCGCCTAATGGAATGATAACAGGAAGAGAAAAAACAACAACTAAACTCAGAGTTCTTGGTGGACATCAGCAGATGCTAAGAATGGACTTTGAGGAAACAGAACCTATATCTGAAGAATACGAAAATGATGTACTGGAGTATGTAAAGAATAAAATAGAAAATAATATTGATATAGTTATAATATCTGATTATGGAAAAGGATTATGCACTAAACGAGTTTGCAGTAGCATCATAAATATAGCACATGATAAAGATATTAAAGTATTGGTAGATCCAAAAGGTACAGATTGGGATAAATATAAAAATGCTGATTTTGTAACACCTAATGTAAAAGAGCTGGGTGACGTAGTAGGAAAAGTTATAAAAAATGATGATGATAATATAACAGCAGCAGTAAAGAATGTACGTGACAAGTATTCAATAACTGATGTAATGGTCACTCGATCAGAGAAAGGATTAAGTTTATATGTCGGTGATGAGATAATATCAATTCCGACTGTAGCACAGGAAGTATTTGATGTATCTGGTGCAGGTGATACAGTAATATCTAATTTTGCGACTGCGTTAGCATGCAATTTGGACTATGAAAATGCTGCATATGTATCTAATGTGGCTGCTGGTGTTGAGGTCGAAAAAATAGGTACGTATGCTGTTGGAAACGAAGAAATATTAAAACGGTTTATTATTCATGAAAAAAGTAAACTGTACATTTAGAAATAATACATCAGTTACTAAAATTATTGTTAGTTAGGTATGCATAGCTATGGATAACTTTTCTAAAAAAAAGTTATATCTTGGGTGAATAATATGAGTAAATATTTAATAATAAAAATTGGTGCGATAGGTGATGTTATTATGTCGTTACCTATGCTTGAGGCAATAAAAAATATAGATAAAAATGCTAACATAGTATGGCTTTCTGGAAAATCTGGAGTAGATATTTTAAAGCAGTATAAGCAAATTAATGAAATAATTGAGATTGATGAAAATAAATTATTGAAGGGGCGGTATCTGGACAAAATAACAGAAGTTATAAAATTATGGTTTAATATAAAATTTAGATTTTTTGATGTGATATATTTAGCACATAATGATAAAATGTATCGTTTACTTACAATTTTTTTGAGATGTAATAAATTTAAAAGAATGACAATTACTGGGAGAAGGCCAAGTTATATACCAGGAAGGTGTTTTACTGACGAATATATTCGAATGGTAGAAGATATTGATTGTAATAAAGATAATTTTTCATATGGATATAATTTTAAGTTTGATTATGAAAAAATGTATGCAAGTATGAAAAATAAATATAATCTAAAAGACAATTATATTGTTTTGTGTCCTGGAGGAGCACAGAAAAAATCTGGCGATGGTAAGTGGACTAGGTGTTGGCCAATAGAACAATATGTAGAACTTAGCAATATATTGATAGAAAGAGGATGGCAAGTTGTTATAACAGGAGCTAAATCAGAAATATGGATGACTGAGTTTTTTTTTAATGAAATGATTGTGAATATGATTGGTCAAGTTAATTTGCTAGAGAACTTATGTATAAGCAGTGGTATCAACGCAGAGTACTCATGATTCTGGTTCATTGCACATGGCTGGTTTGGTAGGAGCACCGATAATTGGATTATTTGGTCCAACAAATCCTAAAACTTTTTTTTCTACTAAATATATTGGTCAAGCAATATCTAAAATGAACGAATTTTCTTGTTGTCCGTGTTATGATGGTAAATATTATGCGGATTGCAAAGATAATATATGTATGAAAAGTATAGATGTAGACACAGTACTAAATTTGATAAACAGTAAATAATAAATTTATAGTATATTTTTAAGTACGTTTAATATCTATATATTTAAAATATTTAGTATTATATATAATACTAAAGAGAATTATTTTGGAGTAGAGATATGTTATATATATTCTTTTTATTAAAGTGTATTTATATAATTTTATGGAAAAAAGATATTAGCTATAAATACATAGAATTATTGTCAATGACCATTTTTATAGAAATGACTGTAGTGGAAGGTATAGTACCATTAAGAGTTATTTTTGAGAGCATTGTGTTTATTTTTTCGCTGTATTGGATATGGATAAAGGATGCCAAAATACAAGAAAGATACACAAAAATTATGTTTTGTTTATGTATATCTATATTGTTTGGATTAATACAGGAATTAATTAATCCTTTTGATGGTTTAATAATTAGTCCAGTTGATGAAAGTAAAACTTGGGATGATTTTGCCAGAGGATATTGGGTAAAAGTTCATAGTGATATATATATATCATGGACGGCAATGCTACTATATAAAAATTTTGATAACATCGAGTCAAATATACATATTAAAGGCACTTTTAAATGATAGCGACATATATTTATTGTTGAAAAAAACAATAAGCTATATGAATTTTTTTATTATGTATTGTATATTTGAAGTTATTATTAAAATGATATTTGAGAATATAAGTATATATAGTTTTTTACATTTTATTATTTTTTTGGATAGTGGTGTAACAGAATATAGAGGCGGAGTTATGTCTTTATTAGGTTTTGGTACGGAACCATCATCTTTTGCTAGAGGGGTATTATCATATATAATATTGTCAATGTTGTATATGAAAATATATTCTAATATGTTATTTGATTTATCTGACAAATTTAAAATAGTATTTGTAAATATTTTAATGTTTATGAGTAGAAGCTTTATGTCAATTTGGTTTTTTATGATAGAGTGTATGGCTTTTTTTTATACTGAAGTATAAAAAAAATACCATATCGATATTTAATATAAAAAATATTATTCTTATAGTAGTAATTATAATGCTGACTGTTTATTATTTTACTCAGATATATGAAGGCGGATATATAGAATATAGAATAACAGGGTTATTATTTACATTAGATTTACTTATAAATGGTGGACCGATTTCATCAATGGATTCATCAATGGCTAGACTAAGTAGTGGATGGTATAGTTTTCAAGATTTTTTAGATCGTCCAATTTTAGGACTTGGATTAGGTATAGAAAATTCTCATGTTGGTGTATCAACTTTTTTATGTAATTTTGGGATAATAGGTTTTATTCTATACACCATGATTATATTTTATAATAATAATTATCATTCTAAATATGATTATCAAATCGTTTTTATATTAATTTTTATAACTAATCTTGTAGTAAAATATGGTGATTTTCCATTTCAAATATTTCCATTTGTACTTATAGAGATTACAAGATTATATTGCATAGATAGCAAGGAGATACTGACTTATGATAAAAAATGTGTTAGATATGAAAAAAAAGTATAAGAGCAGTAGTTTTTTTATACTACTTATTATGTGTAATGTATCAATATTACTATTAGGTTTTATGAAGGGAGAAATATCGCCCTGTTTATCTATAGTTATTGGATTAAGTAAATTATTAATGTGTGTGTTACCATGTTTTATTATAGTCGAGACCGTAAATATGATTAATATTAGCGTGTTACGATACATTATCAAATATCTGATTTTATTAGCGAGCATATTGATTTGTATTATTGATTACGTAATTTTCTTTAATTTTAATAATATATTAGACCAAACTAATATTGAATTAATATTAGGAACTAATATTTATACTGTAAAAGAATTTTTAGAATTATATGTTTTTAAACATAAATGTATTATGTGTTTTTATAATAATATGTATTTTTATTAGGGTAGTATATCATTATTTTAAAAATATAGAATTATATTTTGAAGTAAAAATAAAGAATATATTTTATATATTGTTAGTTTCCATGTTTATGTATCCAGTTTATATTAGTTATTCAGCTAATTATAAAGCATAATGATATAAACGTTGCATTTGATACTATTATAAAGACAACATTACCTCGTATTGTAACTACTGCAATTGATTTAAATAATGCAATAGTTCAATTAGGAAGTTATGATGAAGTTATTGCGTATATGAATAAAAGTAATATAATTATTAAAGAGTCTAAAAATAACATTCCGTATGTTGTGTTTATATTAGGAGAGTCAACTGATCGGAATAAAATGTCATTATATGGCTATAAAAATAATACAACACCACATCTAGATAAAAGATATAGTAATAATGAAATTATAAAGTTTTCAGATACAATATCAGCAGCAAATTTTACTACACGTTCATTGCAATTAATATTTACTTTTGATGAAAAAGAGTCTGATAATACATTGTGGTATCAACATAATAATATATTAGATATATTAAAAAAATCAGGATGGTATTCTATATGGATATCTAACCAAAGTGTATCTAATCAATATGGAAATATGGATGGAATTTTATCAAGTAGAGCTAATGAATTTTCTTTTACCTTAGATTCTCATCAAAATGAAAGTTCTAGACCTTTAGATGCTTCTATATTACCGTTATTAGACAGCAAGATGTCATCGAGTAAGTATGATAATATATTTTATGTAATACATTTAACAGGTACTCATGAAGATTATGCACAACGTTATTCACCTGAATACAATTTTTTTAGTGAAAATGATGAAGATGGAGAAAACATTCATCAGAAAAAAATACGGGCTGAATATGATAATGCCGTATTGTATAATGATTGGATTGTTAATGAAATTTTTCATAGATTTGAAAATGAAGATGCTATAGTCATATATTTTAGCGACCACGGTAGTGAAGTTTGTGACAAAAGTGATTTTTATGGTCATTCAAATGAAATGAAAAAAAATAAAGGTATGATTGAAATACCAATGTTATTTTGGTGTTCAAAGGCATTTAAAGATAAGCATGCAGATATAGTTGAACGTTTAGATAAGTATAAAGATAGACCATTTAGGACTGATTATGCAATACATATGTTTTTACATATATTAGGAATAAATGTTCCAGAATATGATGCTACTAAAGATGTTCTTAGTGATGAATATATAATAAAAGATAGGTGGTATGGTGATGAGAAATATTCTAAAGAAGGAGGTGGTATCTAATGATGATAAAGGTTACGGTTGTAGTACCAGTATATAATTCTGAAGAAACTATAAGAAGGTGTGTTGAAAGTATTATTGCACAGTCATATTCAAATTTAGAAATTATTATTATTGACGATGGCTCAACTGATACTAGTCTAGAAATATGTAACAAATATAAAATAGATAAAAGGGTTATAGTTGTAAGTAAAAATAATACTGGAGTAAGTGATACTAGAAATAAAGGTATTGCTATGGCTACAGGAGAATACATTACTTTTATAGATAGTGATGATTGGGGTAGAATATGATTTTATATCAAATTTATTGAATTGTGTAACAAATAAGGGATGTGAATTAATCATAAGTGCTCATTTAGATGACTATAGAGATAAAAGCTATAATTTATTTAAAAAAAGAAATGCATGTTACTTGGATAAATATATGCTTATGGAAGAGTTTTTTTTTCAAGATATTTTTATCTGGACACCTGTATCCAAACTATACAAAACAGAGATTGCTAGAAGAATAATGTTCGATAATAAAATTAAAATTGGTGAAGACATGTTATTCAATTGGCACTATATTAAATCTATAAAGGGGAGCATTTTATGTTCCTGTTTTTGACTATCACTATTGTCATAGAAATAATAGTGCAACGACATCGCCTTTTTCTGAAAAACATCTACAGGCGCTTAGAGTTAAGAAAATTATTTATAATGATGTTAAGAAAAATTATAGGCAATTCACTGATATTGCTAGATGTATATACATTGGTCAAGTCGCAGGAATATTAAAGAAATCATGGTATGAGAATAACACGTTAGATAAGTATAATCTTAGAGAAATTTTAATAGATACATTACGAAAAAATATGATATGTGCTCTTAAATATATAAAATATAATGTCATTACAAAAAAACAACGTATAGGTATAATATTATGTTCGTTACCTTTTTACATTTCGTTTACTATAATTAGGATAATAAAAATGTTGCAACGAACTTAAGCTAAAATATATGTGATTTAGCATATATATGAAGGGTCCGTGTAATTTTGAAATCTGATATAAAAATATTGGTAATAATGGCTTCATATAATCGCGTTAATGTTATTGAGCAAGCTATATTATGTATGACTAACCAAACATATGAGAAGATTTAATTTATAATTATAGATTGTGGACTCACTTGATATCGTTGAGTTTGCAGTCTGGTATAATATACTGTTAAGTAATGAGGGGTAATGATGAATATATTATGGATGATGGTAGGTAATGATAAAGATGCTAATTATAAAATAGCAATTAAACTTGCTTCAGCTATGAAAGAAAATAATACACTTACTTGTTTGTTATATGGTACATCAGATAATATTGCCTACAATGAATTAAACGATGTGTTTTCAAATATAGTCGATTTAGGAAATAATATATACGTCAATTTTGATGGTAAAATGGATAAAATTTCATATTACTTAAAACACCCTAAAAATGTGATAAAAAAAATAAACTTTAAGGTGTTGAGTAAAGATTTTATAGGATCTAAAAAATTAGAAGATGTATGTGATACGTATAATATTGATGTTGTGATAGGAACTGTATTTCCATACAAGATAGCTACGATAATAGCATGTGCTAATATTAGGGCTAAGAAGATAATAATACAGCTAGATCCATATGTAGATAATATGACATTTATAGCATCACAAAAAGACAGGAGATTAAATGAAGAATATAATGTTTTAGATAATATCGACAGTTTATTTACAACTAGTATTATAAAAAATGAAATACACAGTAATCATGATATAAATATGGAGAAAATTAAAGTTATTGAATTTCCAGAAATGTCCCATACATGATAATTTAAATTTGAGGATAAGTAATATTGCACTACCGAATGAAACAAATATAGTTACGTTGGCACATATAGGAACATTATATAATGATATTAGAAATCCCAAGTATTTAGTTGAAATGATAAAAAAGTTACCAGATAATTATAGATTGATTTTAGCAGGTAGAAATACTGATATGATCAAACAATATGCAGAGGATGTTAGAGAGAAAATTATCGATTTAGGATATATAAGTCCAGACGAAGCGGAAGCGTTAAGATATAAAGTTGATGTTTTGATATGCTTTAACAATCTAGTGTCTAATCAAGTGCCTAGTAAATTATTTGAATGTATAGAAACAGGAAAAATTTTTATAAATTTGTGTCAATTAAGAAACTGTCCTTCACTACCATATGTAGAAGGATATGACAATTCATTAAATGTATTTGTAGATGATATTAATGGCGTAAAAATAGAAGAATTCATCAATTCGCGTAAAGGAAAAATTATAGAAAGAGATAAGATATTAAAAATGTATTACAAACACACTTATGAGTATGTGGCAAAGCAAATAGGAGAAGATATAAAACGATGAATAAACATTTTTCAGATGATCTATTTTATAGTAATTGTTTTGATGTGGTTAGATTTGTTGCAGCGGCAGTTGTAATGTTAAGTCATACTTTTCGTCATTTTGGGTATGATAAGCCTGAATATTTGTTATTTTTTACAGATGGATCTATAGGTGTTATGATATTTTTTGCTATTAGTGGTTATTTGACATTTGCATCTTACGACAAAAAGCAACTAGCCATTAAAGAGTATTTTATGAAACGTATATTTAGATTATACCCAATGTTTATATTTACAATAATCGTTATGGCAATAGTAGATTATATATGGGGAATAAATGTTTTTTTCAATGCAATACATTGCTAACTGTTTTAGAAACTTATTATTATTTGAGATTAGACCATTTGATAACACGTCTTTAAGTAATGGTGTGTTTTGGGCAATGAGAACAATAATATTGGTTTATATTATGATACCAATTATATATAAGAAATTAATTGAATTAAGTTATGCAAAATGGATTATATTGATAATATTTTTAGCACAGTTTAATTATATTGATTCATGGTATATTTCTATGTTTAAAGATGTTCCAGTTATGAAATATTTTTTAGGTAGAATAGATGGACCTTTATTTTTCTTATATGAATTTGCCATAGGAATATTTATTTATTGTAAAAGATATACAATTTTACCAATTATATCCAATGCTAAAATAATAATTCCAGCATGGCTAGGCTTTGCAGTACTACACTATTTATATGATTTTATGGAAGTGTTACCTCGCCAGGGAGAGATGCACAATGCTGTATTAGCTACGGTTATGCCATTTCTTGTAATAGGATTAGGCTATGTGTATAATAAATCTTTAAAAATAGATATCTCATATTGTATTTTCTCTGTACATATGATTATTGTTGGTATATGTTTGCATGATTTTGGTAATAAATATATATATATGCATATAGTGTGGTTTATAGTTATATTACTATCATATTATGTTACACGTTATATAGATGTACCATTTCACAGATATTTACTAAAGAAAATAATGATGAAATAAAATTTGCTACAGGTAATTTTATTATTAGAATGGAGTGTAGAATATGTTTAAAGATAAAACTTTAATGATTACTGGTGGTACTGGTTCTTTTGGTAATACAGTATTAAAACATTTTTTAGAAACAGATATTGGTGAAATACGGATTTTTTCTCGTGATGAAAAAAAACAAGATGATATGCGTCATAGTCTTCAGGCTAAACATCCTAAGATCGCTAATAAAGTGCGTTTCTATGTTGGAGATGTTCGTGATTTACAATCTATTAAGGATGCTATGCCTGGGGTTGATTATATTTTTCATGCGGCAGCTTTAAAACAGGTTCCATCCTGTGAATTTTTTCCAATGCAGGCAGTAAAAACAAACATTGAAGGAACAGATAATTTGCTTCATGCTGCTATCGAAGCTAAGGTAAAGCGTGTAGTATGTCTCTCTACAGATAAGGCTGCTTATCCAATTAATGCAATGGGAATATCGAAGGCAATGATGGAACATGTAATTTATGCTAATGCAAGGGTAGCAGCCGAGCGTGGAGATACAGTTATTTCATGTACTCGCTATGGCAATGTTATGTGTAGCCGTGGTTCTGTTATTCCACTTTTCATAGACCAGATTCATGCAGGAAATCCTGTTACGATTACTGATCCTAATATGACACGTTTTCTTATGAATTTAGATGAAGCAGTTGATTTGGTAAAGTTTGCTTTTGAGCATGCTAATCCAGGTGATTTATTTATTCAAAAAGCTGATGCATCAACAATTGGTGACTTGGCAAAGGCTGTTCAGCAGCTATTTGGTGATACTGGAACGAATATTATTGGTACTCGTCATGGTGAAAAATTATATGAAACACTTATGACAAGAGAAGAACGACTTAGAGCTGAAGATATGGGAAAATATTATCGTGTAGCAGCAGATAGTAGAGATTTGAATTATGATAAATTTATTGTTCATGGCGATGTAACTACTATGGCAGATGAAGCATATACTAGCCATAATACGAATAGATTAGATGTAGATGGTACAGTTAAGAAAATCTTAACAACAGATTATGTTAAAGAAGAACTTAATGGTATAAGACATAGTTAATTATGTGGAGTAATTTATATGGAAAAATTGTTATTGGTCGGAGCTGGTGGTTTTGGTAGAATAGTATCCGAGTTAGCTCGAAATAAATATGAATGTTATTTTGTGGACGATGGGCATAATATTAATGATGTAATATGTGATATACCTGTTGTTGGCCATGTGGAAGATTTGATGAATCTTTATCGTGAGTATAATTTTTTAGTAGTAACGATAGGTAATAATATGCTTCGCCAGAGAGTTTATGAAGTAGCAGGTAAAATTGGATATAGGTTTCCTAATTTAATATCTGATAATGCGTACATAAGTCCTTATTCTAATATAGGATATGGATGTATACTATTAAATAATACAATAGTTCAAAATGGTTCTTCTATAGGGAATGGAGTTATATTAAATTCAGGGGGTTGAAGTTCATAATGATAGTATTGTAAAAAATTATACGTTAATATATTCTAATTCTGT